GAAAAGAAAAGAAAAGAAAAGAAAAGGAAAGAAAAGAAAAGAAAAGAAAAGAAAAAAGGATAAGAGAGAACGAATGCCTAGAAGAATACTGACTTTTTTTACTCTAGGCTATAGCTCCAGCCAGAAGAGGTACGCGCCTTGTACGTGGCACTTCTTTCGGGTACTGGCCATGGTAACACCGGTCCTAACAGACCAACCCGATGAACCTACCTTCCTGGCGCCTTTGAGACCCAGTCCCAACCAACGCTGACACTAGAGGTCTCGATATTGTTTAATTTGTTGCCCAAAAACAGATGCTCAGCTGAAGAAAACTGACAATTTCGTTCGACACTTGCAATATACCGGTAAGTAGTAATAGATTTAAATGCCAAAACACTTGACATGAAGTTATGTCATATTTTTAAACTAATAACATGATCATATTCACATCAAAAAACAAAACTAAAAAAAAAATAAATAAAAAAAAATGAAAAGGCAACATACATTTTATCCCTATCTAGATTCTAGTTTCTTCATTTAATTGTTTATGTTTCTTTTGAGATGAAGTTGCATAGACAGTATCATTTTAACCCCATATTTTCTCACCTTTCGCTCCAAGAGCTATGCATAGAATAGCTCTTGTGGAAATACATAGATCTAGATCAGGTTTATTCTGGAATTCCCCACTGCAAGGGTTCTAAGGAATTATCACAATTGGTTTCAAGAGCAATTTTTCGCCGACTTTAAGTAATTCTTTGACTTTTTTTCAAGTTAAAAATAAAACAGAATTTTCTAGTACGTAATCAATTGAGCACAGAGAACTGAATAAAATACTAAAGAATCTCATCACCTACGTAGAAAAAAAATGAGAGGTTATAAAGCAAATGCTGAGCAGGTGCGAATCTTTTTTTAAATAATATGTAATTAAAATCGTGAGGGATAGAGCGCTACTGCATTTTTTCAGTATATTATTTTGAAAATGTAAGTCGTAAGAGATTAGATAAGAGTTCAGTGTTTAAAAACGACCCGTAATTTAAAAACTATCGCGGATTCGACCAACAAGATTTCTTATGCAAAAACAGTGAAAACAAATCTAGCTCGCGAGGTAAACGATAATCATAAACAGACAAAATTTGAGTTTTGATGAACATCCATTAAATCGCTTTTGCTTTTTTAATTTTCTTCTTCTACTTCTTTTCTTCTTTATCATCATCATCTTCTTCTTCTTCTCCTTCTTCTTCTTCTTCTTCTTCT